TTTTTTTTTACATACTGTCACCCTAGCAGTACAGTGTCACCATGGTGTACTACTTGTGGGGGGGGTGATGAAGATTTTTATTTTTACACTGATTGCTTTTACACCCATAAAGGCTGTAAAAGCAATCATTTATCCTTCTCTCTGGCTGCATTCTTGCAGCCATTGAGAACTGTGTGAGCTGTGATTGGTCACAGCTTGTCACATGGTACAAGGCTGCTGTGAATAGCCTTGTACCATGTGACCTCTGTGATCATTCACAGATTTCACACGTAGTAAGCAATGATGTCACAAGTGACATCTTGCTTACTGCTTTGTATGTGATCACGGATTGGCCAATCCGTGATCACATAATCGGGACCTCGCACAGAGGTCCCATCCAACGATCGGTGTTCCACTCTGTCCGGAGGACACAGCGGGCACCAGATCGCGGTACTGCACGCTTCCAGGGAGCGCGCACAAACAGGGTGCAGGGAGGCCGTTTGTAAACGGCCACCCGACTCTGCACTGCCACTGTCCGGCTGTTTATATACATGGGCCGGATGGGAGGTGGTTAATGGGGCCAGACTGTGGTCATTGGGAGTAGAAAATGTCCCAATGCCATTGTGAGTAAAAATGCCTCAAACTCGGAGGCCTGTGGGGGGAGAAATGACATATAACCTGTGATCATTAGGTGGAGGAATTGTACCCCATCACTGGTAATAGTGGAAGGAGTAGCGCCCCACCGCTGGGGTCAGCGGAAGGAGTAGCGCCCCACCGCTGGGGTCAGCGGAAGGAAGTAGCGCCCCACCGCTGGGGTCAGCGGAAGGAATAGCGCCCCACCGCTGGGGTCAGCGGAAGGAATAGCGCCCCACCGCTGGGGTCAGCGGAAGGAATAGCGCCCCACCGCTGGGGTCAGCGGAAGGAATAGCGCCCCACCGCTGGGGTCAGCGGAAGGAATAGCGCCCCACCGCTGGGGTCAGCGGAAGGAATAGCGCCCCACCGCTGGGGTCAGCGGAAGGAATAGCGCCCCACCGCTGGGGTCAGCGGAAGGAATAGCGCCCCACCGCTGGGGTCAGCGGAAGGAATAGCGCCCCACCGCTGGGGTCAGCGGAAGGAATAGCGCCCCACCGCTGGGGTCAGCGGAAGGAATAGCACCCCACCGCTGGGGTCAGCGGAAGGAATAGCACCCCACCGCTGGGGTCAGCGGAAGGAATAGAGCTCCACCGCTGGGGTCAGAGGAAGGAATGATGCCTTATTGTTGATGTCAGTGGAAGGAATAATGCCTCATATCAGTAGGAGAGAAAGTGCCCCAAGGTTCTAATAAAGGCAAGCAAAAGGACGCTTCTGGCCCATGGACCATAGTTTGGAACCCTTAAAATAATTTTTAGGTCTCAGGGAATCCCTGCTAAAACCACTTCATTAGGGGCCAGTGACCACCAATACCCCTTACGTTGGTGGTCAGTGTGAAGAATGCCCTCTAATAGATAGCAGAAAGATCATTATGGTCATGCCGCTGGCCAACCACAGCTCAAGGAACCCTTAGCAATCACTGGTAGAACTCTGGTTTAGAATGGCTGCCGTAAAACCGCTGAATACAGATGGGAGACTTTGGCAATCATACAGGTTCCCTTTATACCATGCAAAGTTTGAATAGAGAAACATTTTGATCTACCGGCTTTACAACTTAGCAATAAAAAGATCAAAACAGCATAGTAGTAGCCTCCTCCTAAATATGTAAACAGCACAAATATAAAGCCATGCCAAAGGTCTTTTTCCTCCACTTGAAAGTTAAATCCGGCAAGATAACATCAAAGATTTGGCAGCCTTCTGTACAGCGGTATGCATTTACTGCATGGCAATATCCAGATTATTGCTCCACTCCACACAGGTGTCTGAGCATCCTAAGCACCAGGCAGAGCCGACTGTCAACAACAAGCAGTTCCCCCCCTCGGCTCATTCACAGCATTACAGGAAACTCTCGAGTGCCTTAGCCGGCTTCCAGAAGGAAGGTTTTATTTACATCTAATGTCTACATTATCAGTGCAACTAATGTGCTTGATCAATTAAAGAAGATTACAGACCTTGAGGTTTGCATAGAGTTTTTATGATAACTGAATATGCAGTAAATTGCCCGATGATGAAGTCGATATCCTCCCAGACTAAAATATAGATCCATACAGTCGGAACACAATGAGTACAGCTAGATTTGTAAGTGCAGTTGATTTTCCATTTGCAGCAAACAGGAACATATGCAAACGTTATCTATAGAGAACAGCAACCTTTAGTGGCATTGTTTCAGGTTTTTATTTAGGACTTGGCACTAGACTGGAATGGATCACTCAAGTAGGTATTTTTGTAAATGGCAAGTTTAAAAAGAATGCAGACATCCTGACATGCAGATGTCACGATGACCTTTTTCCGGGGACGGGGATATCAAAACTCATAGATAAACAAGTGTCACTGTGGTGATATGCATGCTGCATTCCTGGAGAGAGGAGAAACCTACGGTACTCCGGATTTGGGCGCACTACAGGGCTCAGCATTGCCCAAGAACATATCGCTGTTGGAGGTATGTGGAAACCTGTAGTACCTTGGACTCTTGCACCCTTCAGGCTGCCTGATTCTAAATTGGATGAAGTTTACCTTAACGCTATAGAGAAAAACTGACCACAAAATAAGGACCCCTGGAAAAAAGGAGGAGCATGGTGAGTCTTTCTTAAAATAGTAGGTAATCTCAAGGGCTGCCACAGCACAATCCCACTCAAGGGCCTGAAGACACTGGAAACGCAGACGGGAGATGGGGCACCCCTAAGACTATCAATATGTCAAATATTGACACATGGCACTCTCCAGGCTTGGCATCCATGGACGGCAGTCTCCAGGCTTGGCATCCATGGACGGCAGTCTCCAGGCTTGGCATCCATGGACGGCAGTCTCCAGGCTTGGCAACCATGGACGGCAGTCTCCAGGCTTGGCAACCATGGACGGCAGTCTCCAGGCTTGGCAACCATGGACGGCAGTCTCCAGGCTTGGCAACCATGGACGGCAGTCTCCAGGCTTGGCAACCATGGACGGCAGTCTCCAGGCTTGGCAACCATGGACGGCAGTCTCCAGGCTTGGCAACCATGGACGGCAGTCTCCAGGCTTGGCATCCATACATGTGTGTTTAAAGAGCTTACATCCTCATACTCTTTAGGGTGTCCCACCTCCTTTTTGTGTTTCTAGTGTCTGTATTGAAAATAAATCCTTGTTTCAAGGCTTAACACACTGAAACTCTTACTCATTTTTCCATATAGTAACTAGAAACTCAAAACGGAGATGGAGGTGACTAAGAGAATCAGGATGTAAACTCTTGAAACATCAACAATTAAAGACTATACATATTACACGTAAACTCACCACACGTTTCAATCTGATTGTATAATCTCCTTTAGATCTGCAAACAAATATGTAGTTCAAGAGCCTATATGACTGGATGCAAATTGAATGGATACTTTAGGTCGGTTCTCATATTGCATAGTTTTAGTAGATCTAAAAAAAAGTGATTGTACAGACATTGTATGATCAGATTGCAATGTGTTTTGTGATCCTTAGAGGTGCCCCATCGGTTTTTTTTAGATTCCAGTGTCTATAAGGAAAATTGACAGGTTTCATTTACAACAGAAGTGTGCTTTCAGTCCCAATCAGCTTTCACTAGTCTGACTAAAAGTACTCAAAATATTCTTTTCAGTTTCTATGGAATACTGTACATTACTGAATCATAAATAAGTCAAATGTCAACTGTACTGCAAGTAACATTGTGGCAAATATTTATTGGCCACCACCAGTAATGAAAATATACATCCAGTAGGTTGACTCATGTTAAAATAGTAGTTAAAAGCAAAAAATTTTACAAATCCAACAATGACTGAACACAAAAAGTATACAGAATTTTAGATAATAGAGCAGAGATTTCTTGCTGACCATCATAGCATCAACGGCTAAAAAAAAACTGCTTTCAGAAAATTAACCAACAAGATCAACAGAATCTTGATAAATATAAATCTACACTACCATTAATATATGAATTTATATACTCAAAAACAAGCAAAGCCAGCAAGACTGAACATACAAAGTGTACAGAATTTCCTATATAGAACTGAAGGTTGATCATTGACCATCATAGCACCAACTACGAACAAAAGAGCGATCAGAAATTAAATTAACCCAAACAAAAACACCCGTCAACACAAGGTGGCAACTGAATCATTAAAAATAAGTCAAGTGTCAAGCAATCCACACTAGCATTAAACTATGTTATATACCCAAAATCAGGCAAATCTGACAAGACCGAACACAGTGTACAGAATTCCCTATAAAACTTAGGTTGGTCATTGACCATCATAGCACCAACTACTAAAATAAAACTCAACAAAATTGATCTCATCTTGTTGAGTTGATGTCTAATGCAAAAATGAAATTAAACCCAACAATATCAACACAAGACGGCATGTTGTGAAACTATTATACACCCAAAATTGAGAAAAACCGAACATATAGTGTACACAACTGACTAAAGAGATCTACGGGTGGGTCACTGACCACCATAACCGGACTTTAGAAAGCAAAAAACATCACAAGGACATGGAAGTCTCCAAAACAAATTGGCATTAAAAACCTTCATATATAGCTAATGGCACAAAACCCCGACCTTCCTCTAGCTGGAAGACACTCTATATAGGAAAGTGCAAAGGTCAAGCTCTGCGCCTGGAAACAAGCATTCCTTCTAGAGACGAGAGCCCATATCAACATACACTTCAAAAAAAAAAAAAAAAAGAAAAAGGAAAAATGGCAAGCACCCTGCGGTGTCAAATCACGAAATCAATGGAAACGTATACACATGTTGAAATCGATGCAGGTCTTTGGTTAAGCCAGCAGAAACCGCTCACGCCATACCAGGACCTGACAGCTGTTAACAGCATCTGTACCGGGGAAGAGAAGAAAGGGGAGGGAGAGGACGGTGTACACCAAGCAGACACCACTTACTTCTCATATTCCGCGTTATCTTTGTCACAACGTGAGTCCTTGTGCTTCTGCCAGTCTTTCCCATGCTTGCAAGTAGTCAAGAGTACCACATCCTCCCCATTATGAACATGATATAAGGCATTCCTGGTGTCTGACCCTATCCCCGTCAAGTATCTTTTCCCTTTGAAGACCAACATGTACTTCCGAATCGGAGGGATAGTGTTAAATCGCAGAAACCCCCGTTCCCCCCCTGTCCTGGGATGATCCTTAGAAAATAACGGGATGGAAATGTCAAAGTTGGGGCGGAAGTTGTCCGTGCTGATGCTGGCCTTGGCCAGCATGGCCTGGCCGATGTCGAAGCCCACGTCTTCGGTGTAGTCCGGCCAGGTCCCAGAGTATAAATTAAAAATTAAATGGTTTCTACCGTTGTTCCACAGGTGCAAGTTCTGGACCTTGGAGCGGAGGTTGTGGACATACTGCGGGGACAGCTGGTCCCGGTCCAAGGTGTCCAGGCTCAGGACAAACAAGCAAGCCTGGCTGGGGTCCGAGGTGTAGTACCTGGAGGCCTCAATGGCCGACAAGATGTTTTGGTAACTCTCCGAAATCTTGTCCCCCTTCTGCTGAGGGTAGGTGTACACCTTGAAGCCGTTCCGCCGGCACAGCGAGAAGTCAAAGCAGGACTCCATGCGGCACTTCTTGCCCTTGTAGACGCTGGAGTTGGCGTCCCGCTTCTGCCTGGGCGAGCCCTGGCCGTTGGAGTCCTCGCCTTCCGCCTGATCCCACTGGATGAAGGGCAGCAAGGGGTCCGGGAAGCGTGGCCACGGGTGGTAGTCAGCGCCCTTCTGAAGGCCATTCCTCCGGTGATGGTGGTCGTCCCTTTTCTTCTGGCTCCTGGACGCCCTAAACTGCAACCCGCCGAGGTAGAAGAGCAGGACGACGCAGGTGCCGGCCGACAGCAGGGTGAAGTAGCGTTTTTTGGCCTGCATGTGTCCGGTCGGGCTCGGGGTGGTCGGAGATGAACGCGAAAGCCCCCAAACGTTGCCGGTCCGCGCCCTCAGCTCCACTCCGCCATCTTCCTGAGCGGAAAGATGTCAAACTCTCTTCTCCCACCTTCCGCGGATTCCTTTCCCCCAGCCGCGGCGTGATCCAGAGCATGTGGGCGACTTCTTTAACGTTCCCCCCTTCGGTCTTTCATCTCCGGGGTAGAGCTGATCTTTTGAGAGGGGAGGTTGAAGAAAGGAAACGGCCCAGCGGCCCTGCTTAAAGGGTCCCTGCCTTAAAGGGTCTTCGACTTAAAGGGGCTCCAATTGAAAAGGGACCCTGCTTAACGGGGTGCTAATTCTAAAGGGATTCCAAATGGTCTCCGGCTGTAAGGGTCTCCAGTTTGGAAGGATCTCCGGTTGCGAAGGGTCTCGGATTGGGAAGGATCTCCGATTTGGAAGGATCTCCGTTTTGGAAGGATCTCTGGATCAATAGGGTCTCCAGCTTCGAAGGATCTCCGGCTTGAAGGGGGTCTCGGATTTGGAAGGGTCTCCGGCTTAAAGGGACCGCTCGTAGTGTGCAGAGACAGAGGCAGCCAGCACAGCTTTGTTCCCCCGGCACCGGATCCCGATCAGCTCCTCGCCCGACCGTCTGCACCCCACACCGGCTGACTTCATCAACTTCACCGGGGAAGCCGGCGGTGTCAGCAGCGGGTTACATGTCCGTGCCGGAGCCCGGTAACCGGACGAATCCCTGCATGGCTCTGCATCCCCGAAGCGGCGGGTGTGTGGAGGAGGGAGGGAGGGGTGGAAGGCGGCCGTTCTAGGACGGGAGGTGTCGGCGGCTCCCTCTCTCTCTGTCTCCCGGGGTGGTGGTGAGCGGAGAGCGGTGCCCCGGATCCCTTCCCCTACACTAGTCTAACACATTCCATTCTCCGCACGACAGCTTGTGACCTCATCTATCCACGCACCCTGCGCTCCCATTGGACGGACGTCACGTCCGGGGGTGGGAGGGGCTTCCGCTGCACCCGGCCCTGGGGGACCGCCTACTTCTCCCAGCACGGGGGAAAGATGAGGAGACTGGCGGTGCGCTGTGTGCGGGAGAGCCGGCGGTGTACACCGAGCCCGGATCACCCCCCTCCCCCGTCCGTGTGTCCCCATCCCCGCCGCTACAAAACAGGACCATACAGCATGCAATCTGATTGTACCGTCCGCCATACACAGTGCAATTACGGTGGCCTCCTCGTCCCTTTAAACCCGAACATATGAATTACACAGGTTCCGGGGCTGATAGAATGCAGATACGGCACTCAGTTTAACCAGTTGCCTACCGGGCACTTATACCCCCTTCCTGCCCAGGCCGATTTCCAGCTTTCAGCGCTGTTGCACTTTCATGACAATTGCGGTCATGCAACACTGTACCCATATGAGATTTTTATCATTTTTTGTGACAGAGCTTTATTTTGGTGGTATTTAATCACCTCGGGGTTTTTTTTATTTTTTCTTAAACCAAAAACAACTGAAAATTTAGAAAAAAAAAGTTTTTTTTTCTTAGTTTTTGTTATAAAATTTTGTAAATAAGTGATTTTTTCTCCTTCACTGATGTGCGCTAATGAGGCTGCAGTGGTGGGCACTGATAGGTGGCACTGATAGGCTGCAGTGATGGGCACTGATAGGTGGCACTGATAGGCTGCAGTGATGGGCACTGATGGGCTGCAGTGATGGACACTGATAGGAGGCACTGATGGGCACTGATTAGACTGCAGTGATGGACACTGATAGGTGGCACTGATAGGCTGCAGTGATGGACACTGATAGGTGGCACTGATAGGCTGCAGTGATGCACACTGATAGGTGGCACTGATGGGCACTGATAGGCTGCAGTGATGGACACTGATAGGTGGCACTGATGGGCACTGATAGGCTGCAGTGATGGACACTGATAGGTGGCACTGATAGGCTGCAGTGATGGGCACTGATAGGAGGCACTGATAGGCTGCAGTGATGGGCACTGATAGGAGGCACTGATAGGCTGCAGTGATGGACACTGATAGGTGGCACTGATAGGCTGCAGTGATGGGCACTGATAGGAGGCACTGATGGGCATTGACAGGCATCACTGATGGACACTGAAAGCCAGCACTCATATATGGCACTGATAGGTGGCATTGATGGGTGACACTGAAAGGCAGCTCAGATGGGCACTGAAATGTGGCATGGATGGACACTGATAGGTGGCACTGCTGGGGCTACACAGATCATCAGGGCACACTGATGATCTGTGCACATGTCCCCTCCGAGGAATGCTGATTACCGGCTCTCCTCTCCTCTATCAGTGTGACAGCTCGAGAGGAGAGAAATGCAGATAACCAGCATTTCCCTGTTTACATGTGATCAGCTGTGATTGGACACAGCTGATCACATGACCGAGCCGCCATCTTCGGCTCTTTCCGTGGATCAGTGATCCACTGTGTCCGAGGGAGCCGCGCATGCGCGGTTAGAATGGGATGACGTCATATGACGCCGTCCCAGAACAAGAGAACCTCCTTGCGTCCGTCATATTACTATATGGCGGGTGGGAGGCGGTTAATTACCGCCTTAAGCAGTCCCAGAACCTGTGTAATTCATATGTGTTCAGGTATAAAGGGATGAGGTGGCCACCCTATATACAACCAGATGCACACTCTCCTTAACCGACTTGTCCTCCAGAGGATTTACCCCCCTTCCTGACCAGGCCATTTGTTGTGTTATGGCGCTGCGTTACTTTAACTGACCATTGCGCAGTCATGCAACATTGCACTCAAATTAATGGCTTTTTTCCCACTAATTGAGCTTTCTTTTGGTGGTATTTGATCGCCTCTGCAGTTTTTATTGTTATTTATAAACAAATAAAAAAACAATATTTTGTAAAAAAAAACAATTTTTTTGACTTTTTGCTATAAAAATATCCAGCAAAAATGTTAAAAAATCAAATTTCATAAATGTACGCAAAAATGTATTCTGCTACATGTCTTCAGATATACGTCCTTTTTTTTCCCGCAAATTGATCTTTCTTTTGGTGGTATTTGATCGCCTGTGCAATTTTTATTTTTTGCACTATAAAAGAAAAAGACCGACAATTTTGAGAAAAAACTATATTTTGGACTTTTTGTTATAAAACATGTCCAGTAAAAAAATTTCAAAAATCACATTTTGTAATTTAGGCCAAAATGTATTCTGCTCCATGTCTTTGCTAAAAAAAAATATCCCAAGACGTGTAAATGAATTGGTTTATGTGAAAGTTATAGCGTCTACAAATGGCGGTATAGATACTGGGATTTTTTTATTTTTTACTAGTAATGACAGCGATCAGCGACTTACAGCGGGGACTGCGGTGGACATTCTGACATTGGAGGGGAACTGACTTGGTGTCACTGACATCCCCAGTGACACCAATACAGTGATCTGTGCTAAAAAAAAAAGCACCAACACTGTACTAATGGCACTGGGCAGGAAGGAGTTAACATCTGGGGCGATCAAAGGGTTAACTGTGTGTTGGGAGTGTTTGCATTTCTGGGTTGTGTCAGTGTGCTTCACTGGATGCACACCGCTTTGGATGGCTGTGCTGTGCAGTGTGCCCAAGATGACAGGGAGGAGGACTGTTAGTAAACAAAACAGTCCTCCTCGCCGTCGGAAATCACCGAACACTGGCGAGTAATCACCAGCCGGGACCCAGTGATTGACAGCCACAAATGGCGGTGCGGGTAGGGCGCACGCAACCCCCTACCCAGAAATGCAAAATCACGTATATATATATGTGATTTTGCGCAACCGTGTCGCCCCGTAGCAATATTTCTGCTATAGGGCGGTCAGGAAGCGGTTAATCTGCCCCAGAACCTGTGTAATTCATATGTGTTCAGGTATAAAGGGATGAGGAGGCCACCCCATATACAACCAGACTGCACACTCACCTTTAACCACTTGCCCTCCATAGGATTTGCCCCCCTTCCTGACCAGGCCATTTTTTTTGCGTTACGGCACTGCATTACTTTAACAATTGCGTAGTCATGCAACGCTGCACCCAAATGAAATTATTGGGATTTTTTTCCTATTAATTGAGCTTTCTTTTGGTGGTATTTGATCGCCTGTGCGGTTTTTATTTTTTGTGCTATAAACAAAAAAAGACTGACAATTTTGAAAAAATTATATTCTTGACTTTTTGCTATAAAACATCCAGTAAAACATTTTAAAAATCAAATTTCTTCATAAATTTCGGCCAAAATGTGTTTTGCGACATGTCTTTGATTAAAAAATCCTGATACGTGTAAATGAATTGGTTTACATGAAAGTTATAGTGTCTACAAATGGCGGTATAGATACTGGGATTTTTTTTTATTCTACAAGTAATGGCAGCAATCAGTGACTTATAGCGGGACTGCGGTGGGCATTCTCACACGGGGCGGGGGGACTGACTAACTGCCACTGACATCCCCAGTGACACAATACATTGATCAGTGCTAATCAAAAGTACTGACAATGTACTAATGACACTGGGCAGGAAGGGGTTAATATCTGGGGCGACCAAAGGTTTACTGTGTGCTGTTTTACTACATAAACATGCTGCTGTGCAGAGCAATACAAAGCAGCATGTCCATGCTGACAGCAGAGAGACCTGTGTTGTTTACACTTACAGATCTCTCCCCTCTCAGCCCTGCTGACGATCACTGAGTGCCGGCCGGGACCTGGTAATTGACATATCCAGCAGCCAATAGCGGCGTGGGTGGGGCGACGCTTTTGCATGCACACGCCCACAGCCAGAAATGCAAAGTCACTTATTTTTACATGATTTTGCACAGCGGAGACGCCCTGTAGCAGTAAGTCTGCTATGGGGCGGCTCTTAAGGCTAGGTTCACACCTATGCGGTTTGCGTTTCATCCGTTTCTGCAGTGCATTTGCGTTTTTGCACTTTTTTTTATGCTTTTTTTTATTTCCTTGTTGCTAGGCTGATTTAAAACGCATCAAAAATGCACTACATGCTTTTCTGCAGTATTTCCAATGAAGGCTATAGAGCCAGAAACACAACTTTTTGCGTTCAAAAAAGTCCCCGACCCTTTCCAAAAACGCACCGCGGGTGAAACAACTGAGATGTGAACCTGAACAATAGGAAATCATGTTAAACGAACTGTAGTGCGATTCTGCAAAGCGCGAAAAAACGTATAAGTGTGAACCTAGAGTAAGCGATTAAACTATGGCACTGCAAGAACCTGCCTGATTGTTTATACAGGTTTGGCACATCTAAAGGACATTGTACAATCAGATTGTAGAATGTATGGCCACCTCTAGTCCTAAGGGTCAACGTACAACGTCTGAGCTCCGGAAAGGATTTACCTTCGTGACCAGGACGGTTTTTGCTATTCAGCACTGTGCTGCTTTAACTGGTAATTGCACAGTTGTGCAATGCTATACATAAATGAAATTGATAGCATTTTTTTCACACAAATGGAGCTTTCTTTTGGCGGCATTAGATCACCGCTGTGTTTATTATTATATAAACAAAAAAAGACCCAACGTTTTGAAAAACAATATTTTTTACTTTCTGCTATAAAATGTATCCAATAGAAAAAAAATCAAATTTCTTCATAAATTTTGGGCAAAATGTACCAGTTCCCCACCGCGCTACAGCCAAAAGATGGCTACAGTGTGGTCAGCTAGTTCTGGGAGGGCATCCGTGGACGTAGGGATCCAATCGATCCCTATCCAATCAGACAGGCCCATGCACTACATACTTGTTGGTAGATCGAAAATCGATTGTACAATCAAATTGTAATATGTTAAATCTGAACTATACTGACCTTGGATGCAGAGTCCTGGAGTTCCCCGCCCACCTGCTGACATCTTCGAACGGGCAGCTTCTGGGTTTTGTCATTGGTCGGGCGGGCGGGTATGACATCACTCCCGTGTATGCGTGGGAGCTCAGTGAGTTTCGGCATTGCCAAATCTGTACAGTGAGCGGCACCTGCGCAGCTCACTGTACGAGGCGGACAGGCAGGTAGGTAGCTTTAATGCAGAAGAGACAAAGCTCTAAAATCCCTGCCTGTTTGCCCCTTTTAGATTTTTTAAGGGCCAGTTCACACTACATGCATTTCAGTTGCTTTTTTTCTGCTTCCAAATTGCACAAAAAGTAGGTTATATGGTTGGCAAAGTCAGTTCACATCAGTGTTTGCAGTTCAGTGCAGTGCATTGCGGTTCCAGAAAAAAAAGTAGAACATGCTGCATTATTCCTGCACAAAATGTACTGGAATGCAGTAAAACGCACATGTCCCTATTTAAATTGAAAAATAGAGAGGGGAAAAAATTAACTAGAATGCATCAATAATACACTGGAATGTGTCAAAAATGCACCAGAATGCACCAAAAACATGCATGCAGAAACACATCCAAAACACATCTGGATTGCGCTTCTATGGTGTGAACCAGCCTTAAATTTCTGTGTCCCACTGATCTCCTAATGTTCCCTTCATAGTCTGATTGATGGACACTATAAATAATAGACGACCGCAATACGTATATAAACGTTGCAGTTTTATTCTTTAGGGTCTTTGCTAAAAAAAGAAAAAAAATTGTGTTGTTTTTTTTTTCAATTTATTAAAGTGTATTTTTTTCCAAAATAATTGCGTTTCAAAAGCCACTGCACAAATGCCATGTGACATAAAAAATTGCAACGATTCCCGTTTATTCTCTAGGGTCTTTGTTAAAAAAACAAATTATGTTGTGTTTTCTTTTTTTCAGTTCATTAAAGTGTATATTTTTCCAAAATAATAGCGTTTGAAAAGCCGCTACACAAATACCATGAACATAAAAAAATTGCAACAATCCCCATTTATTCTCTAGGGTCTTTTACTACAAAAAATAAATATATATATATATATATATATATATATATATAAAATGTTTGGGGCTTACAAGTAATTTTGCGTCAAAAACACACCGGAACACACCAAAAATGCGCATGCAGAAACACACCTGGATTGCGCTCACTTCTATGGTGTGAATTAGCCCTAAATTTCTGTGTCCCACTGATCTCCTAATATGTTCCCTTCATAGTCTGATCGATGGACGCCATGTTACATAAAAAAAATTGCAATGATTCTCGTTTATTCTCTAGGGTCTTTGCTACAAAAAAATAAAAAAAATATATATATATATATATATATATATATAATGTTTGGGGCTTATAAGTAATTTTGTGTCAAAAACGCACCAGAATGCACCAAAATGCGCATGCAGAAACACATCCAGAATGCATCTGGATTGGGTTTCTATGGTGTGAACCAGCCCTACATTTCTGTCTCCCACTGATCTAATGTTCCCTTCCTAGTCTGATCGATGGACGCTATAAATAATTGACGACCGCAATACGTATGTAAACATTGCAGTTTTCAAGTGGTTTACCGGCGTTATAGCTGATTAAATAAAAAATATATATATTTGGAGCTTATAAGTAATTTCTAGCAAAAAATACTGATTTAAAACTGGTAAACAAAAAGTGGCAGAAAATGCTTGGCGCCAACATAGCAGCACACTACCACATGTATGCTGTCATGAATTAGCAAAGGAAAATTATGGTATTTGATACAATTTTCCATTTTTTTTATTTTGATTAAAATAAGGAGGGGTTATAACCCCTGTCAGGTTTTTTTTTATCTGTTTCCCTTTGGGGAGATTACTCTTTACTTCCTGCCCCACAGCCAAAAACAGGAAGGAAGAGGAAATCCCTCCAAAATGAAGGAATTCAGGGTCACCAGAACTAGTGTCCACATTTGAAGCTTTCCCCTCTACCTCTGTTCCGGGGACAACCCAAAATGTGGGATTTTCTTTCACTCAGTGACTTGTAGCGGGACTGTGGCTGGCATTCTGACACTGGGTGCAAACTGACAAACTTCCACTTACATCCCCGGTGACACTAATACAGTGATCAGTGCTAATAAAAAGCACTGACACTGTACTAATGACAATGGGCAGGAAGGGGTTAACATCTGGGGGTGATCAAAGGGTTAACTGTGAGCTGTGTGTGTTTTACTAAGCAGACCTGCTGCTGTGCAGAAAGATACAAAGCAGCATGTCCATGCTGACAGGAGAAAAGAGAGATCTGTGATATTTACACACAGGTCTCTCCTCTCTCAGCATTGCTGTCCATCACCTGTCCTGGCCAGGAATTGCCAGCTGGGATCCGATGATTGACATATCCAGCAGCCAATAGCAGCACAGGTAGGGGTTCATTATGTGGTATTACTGATATATTATGATTTAATGACTAGCATGCTTTTAGGGAGAGCGCCCTTTTGATGTTGTTCTAGGGATATGTAGGAGCATGTGTGTACTCTTAAAGGGGCGGCTACACCCATTCACTGGTTTGTTTAGGTGAAGATTTTTACTCACATTTTTCCACAATAGTTTATCTGGGGTGTTTGCATTTTTATATAATTGATCGTATATCACATTTTTAATTTTTGATGTTATATTTTGTGTATGCACATATCTGGGGTTGGGTGCCATACTATAGCTATCCCATCCTTTTGTGAGGGGAAATTGCACCGCATCTGCTTGAAAAAGGTGAAGGCAACTTTTTTTTTTGACGCACTAGAATCAGATCGAATGGGTGGTCATTGCCATGCGATCCGATTCAAACAAACACAATGCATTCTGCGACCTGCTTTTGGGGTGTCTATAACTTTTAATTGTCCCAGTAGATTGCATGAACACAGTGCGATTGCTGTGCGATGCGGGTAATGTAGCGATTCCTTTGCGTTTCCTGCATCCCATCAGCGTAAACCCAGCCTGAATGATAATGTTAAACAGGACAAATAGGGTGAATCTCCCTAATCGGGGCACAGAATGCAATAAAAACTGACAGGTGTTCTAATCCCTCTATGCATGGAATGCGCCTTTCCAGCTCCGCGTTCAACCCTAAACACTAAGCTGTGTAAGGCTAGGTTCACACCTATGCAGTTTACACTTGATCTGTTTCTACAGTGCTTTTTCCGGTGTGTTTTGCGTTTTTGCACATGCGTTTTTGATGCATTTTATGTTTTTTTTTTTGGCCAACTGTTGGCTGGACAGATTAAAAACGCAAAACACATCAAAAAAGCATCAAAAAATGCATGCAAAATGTAGAATGAGCTGACAGGGAGGAAGATTGTTTGTAAACAAAACAGTCTTCCTCCCTGTTGGAGATGCTCGGTAATTACCAGGCGCTGGGAGGTAATTACTGGCTGGGACTCGGTGATTGACAGCTGCAGCCGCAAATGGCATCGCGGGTAGGGCGTGCGTGGCTCAAGCGCCCCCCCTACCCAGAACTACAAAATCACACATATAAAGAAGCCGATCAGTGGGTTCCGGCAAATGATTGATCGTAGGGACCCACTGATCGACTCTGTGTTTCACAAAAGATATCTCTGACTGCGTCAGGGTGGCCGCTGTGCAGTGAATCACGTATCTGGTATGTGGTCAGTGCTTCCAGGTAGGATGTATCCCCGCTGCCTCGGATGTTCTGTGATTTGTTACATCACAGGCTGATCAGTGGGTCCCGGCAAATGATTGATCGCAGGGACCCGCTGATCGACTCTGTGTTTCACAGAAGAGCTCTCTGACTGCTTCAAGGTGGCCGCTGTGCACTGGATCACGTATCTGGTATGTGATCAG